ACCAAAAGAGACCTGCATAAGTGGAAAAACATACCTTGCTCATGGATAGGAAGACTCAACATTGTGAAAATGTCAATTCTACCCAAAGCGATCTACATATACAATGGAATCCCAATCCAAATTCCACCGGCATTTTTTAATGAGATGGAGAAACAAATCACCAACTTCATATGGGAAGGGAAGAGGTCTCGGATAAGTAAAGCATTACTCAAGAAGAAGAACAAAGTGGGAGGCCTCACACTACCAGATTTTAGAACCTATTATACCTCCACGGTAGTCAAAACAGCCTGGTACTGGTACAACAACAGATACATGGACCAATGGAACAGAATTGAGAATCCAGACATAAATTCATCCACCTATGAGTAGCTGATATTTTACAAAGGCCCAAAGTCTGTTAACTGGGGAAAAGACAGTCTCTTTAACTAATGGTGCTGGCATAACTGGATATCCATCTGCAAAAATCTGAAACAAGACTCATAGCTCACATCATGCACAAAAACTAAGTCAAACTGGATATCAAAGACTTACATATAAAATTGAAAACAATAAAGATCATGGAAGAAAAAATAGCAACAATGCTAGGAGCCCTAAAACATGGAATAAACACAATACGAACCATAAGTAACAATGCAGAAGCACCAGAAGAGAGACTAGATAAATGGCAGCACCTAAAAATCAAACACGCTCATTAAAAGACTTCACCAAAAGAGTAAAAAGACTACCTACAGACTGGGAAAAAAATTTTGGCTATGACAAATCCAATCAGCATCTAATCTCTAAAATCTACAAGATACTGCAAAACCTCAACAACAAAAAGACAAATTACCCAATTAAAAAATCGGCAAAAGAATGAACAGGCACTTCGCCAAAGAAGATATTCAGGTGGCTAACAGACACATGAAGAAATGCTCACGATCATTAGCTATTAGAAAAATGCAGATCAAAACTACAATGAGATATCATCTCACCCCAACAAGGCTACCATTAATCCAAAAAACACAAAATAAGAAATATTGGTGAGGTTGTAGAGAGAATGGAACACTTATATACTGTTGGTGGGAACGTAAAATGGTACAACCACTTTGGAAATCGATTTGACGCTTCCTTAAAAAGCTAGAAATAGAAGTACCATACGATCACACGAATAGATACATGCACACCCATGTTCATTGCAGCACTCTTCAGAATAGCAAAAAGATGGAAACAACCTAGATGCCTGTCAATGGATGAATGGATAAACAAATTATGGTATATCCACACAATGGAATACTACGCAACGATAAAGAACAATGATGAAGCCATGAAACATCTTATAACTTGGAGGAATCTGGAGGGCATTATGCTGAGTGAATTTAGTCAGTCACAGAAGGACAAATGTTGTATAAGACCACTATTATAAGAACTCAAGAAAAGGTTTAAACTCAGAAGAAAACATTCTTTGATGGTTATGAGGGTGGGGAGTGAGGGTGAGGGTTATTTACTAACTAGATAGTAGATAAGAATTATCTTAGATGAAGGGAAGGACAGCACACACTACAGGGGAAGTCAGCACAACTGGACTAAACCAAAGCTAAGAAGTTTCCTGAATACAATCAAACACTTTGAGGGACAGAGTAGCAGGGGTAGGGGTCAGGGGACCATGCTTTCGGGGGTATCTAGGTCAACTGGCATAATAAAGCTTATTAAGAAAATGTTCTGCATCCTCCTTTGTGAGTGGCAGCTGGGGTCTTTAAAAGCTTGCAAGCGGCCATCTAAAATGCATTGGTCCCAACCACCTGGAGTAAAGAGAATGAAGAACACCAAAGACACAAGGAAAGCATTAGCCCAAGAGACAGAAAGGGCCACATAAACCACAGACTTCATCAGACTGAGACCAGAAGAACTAGATGGTACCCGGCTACCACCAATGACCGCCCTGACAGGGAACACAACAGAGAGTCCTTGATAGAGCAGCAGAAAGGTGGGGTGCAAATTCTAGTAAGAAGACCAGACTTAATGGTCTGCCTGAGACTGGATGGAGGAACCTGTAAAGTATGGCCCCCGGATTCTCTATCAGCCCAGAACTAAAACAATTTCCGAGGCCAACTCTTCGGACAGGGATTGAACAGTACAGTGGGACATAAAGTCATACTCATGAGGAGTGCATCCCTTAGCTCAAGTAGATACAAGAGACTAAACACTCAGCTTCTGTTTGGAAGTGAGATGGGAAGGCAGAGAGGGCTAGGAGGTGGTTGCATGGACATGGGGAATCAGAGGTGGAAAGGAGAAGTGTGCTGTCACAGTATGGGGAGAGTAATTAGGGTTATATAACAATTTATGTATAAATTTTTATATGGGACACTAACTTGAAATGTAAACTTCATTTTAACTTCAACAATAAACAAAAAAAAAATGAGGGGTTTGGACAAGGTGAACTTTAAGGTGCTTTTAAGTGTTAAAATTCTAGGACTCAACATTGGTTTCGGTTGGAAGCACTGAGTTTTTATCGTGATGGAAAATTCGGCAACAGATATTGGTAATGGTTGCACAACATGATTAATGTAGCTGATGTCACTAAATTGTACACATAAACATGTTAAATTAGCATATGTTGTATTACATATATTTTTACAACGAAAAAAAAAATTCTAGGACTCAAATACAAGAACAAATAAGGCAAACATCTTTCAAGCAGAATAATCAGACCTTTGCTGATCTCCACATTAGGCAGGTTGAAGATTTCAAGGTCCATCGTCCCTCCTTTAGTCCCTTCTGAGAGGTCTAAGAGGACCAGCCTGTCTGCAATGCCCTGTATAGCACAATTCAAAAAAAAAAAAAAGAACAGCATTACACTGGGTGTGGCCAGTTACTCAATTCAAAGTTAGTAAGTGAGGACTAAAGGAATATACATGTGCTTCATGTGCTGTTTTAAGAAGGAAAAGTAACACAATAGTAATAAAAATGACATGCAAGCAAAAAGTTATTATGAACTTGAATGATGTGATCCTTTAGCGTTGACTACTGAAAAAATTATTATGATAAATAGAGAAAAGATTGATATTGACAAGGATTTCATTTACTTGGATCCACAATCAACATCCATCAAAGCAGCAGTCAGGAAATCAAATGCCATACTGCATTGGGCAAATCTGCTGCAACAGACCTCTTTAAAGTTTTAAAAAACAAAGATGTCACTTTGAGGACTAAGGTACGCCTAACCCAAGCCATGATATTTCCAATCGCCTTATATGAATGTGAAAGCTGGACAATGAATAAGGAAGACCGAAGACAAATTGACGCCTTTGAGTTATGGTGCTGATGAAGAATACTGAATATACCATGGATTGCCAAAAGAACGAACAAGTCTGTCTTGGAAGAAATACAGCTAGAGTGCTCCTTGGAAGTGAAGATGGTGAGACTTTGTCTCACATAGTTTGGACACATTATCAGGAGGGACCAGTCCCTGGAGAAGGACATCATGCTTGGTAAAGCAGAGGGTCAGTGAAAAAGAGCAGAACCCTTGATAAGATGGATTGACACAGTGGCTGCAACAATGGGCTCAAAGATAACAAGGACTGTGAGGATGGTACGGGACTGAGCAGGGTTTCGTTCTACTGTAGATGAGGTCGCTATGAGTCAGAACCAACTCAACAGCACCTAACAACAGCAGTGAAAACTGGCAACTGCTGGGGCATAACTCAGACATCAAAAGTGCAGGTTTCTTCTGATGGGATAGTGAGTAATAAAGATGACCTGGTACACTCAATATGTTTGTTATTGTTCTTGAGTTTATGTTTCATTTTAAAGTCATAATTTCCATTCCGAAAGAGCTTTGGGTGATTTTTTTTTTTTTAAATCTATTTTAGCAGCTAAATCCTAGCGAACACTAATGCCAGGTTTGTCTTTTAAAAAACAAAGGCCAACTCTTTGCTGCATCTACTTGGAGAATGAAGACCATTCTCAGCAACTAGACTGTTAGACATTCCAGAAAATGTTGACATCAGTCTGAAGGGACATAGATATTGTGAAGGACCCCAGAGGAACCCTGTGGTGGGTCTCCAAGCACATTAAGGTAGAACTCAACATCCGTGGAAAGAAAAAGAAGAGGCTTCAGGTTGTCAAATGGTGAGGAAATGGAAATGATTTCACTGCACTATCTGTAGGCACGTACAGAACACGATCAAGGGCGTTACACTGGGCTTCCATTAAACAGTGAGGTCTGTGTAAGCTCATGTCCCCATCAACATTATTATTCAGGAGAGCGGATCTCTTGTCGAAATCAGAAATTTCTTGGGTAAAAAATACACCTGTAGGGTTTGGATGAGACCAGGTGTCACTTGTTCAGTATCCCAAGCCTAGAAAGATGAGCTAATTCTTAAAGGAAACGTCACTGAACTTGTATCAAATTCAGCTGCTTTAGTTCAGCAAGCCATGACAGTCAAAAACAAGAATATCAGAAAATTTTCGGAAGGCATCTACATCTCTGAAAAAGGAACAGTTCAACAGGTTGATGAATAAAGATCTAAGAGTTGTCCAGCTACAGAAACAAGACCCAGATGATTCCTAAGTCCTAGTGAAATTTAAGATGGAATAAAAATTTATGTATTGATTTTGGGGAAAAATAGTAATAATAAATAAAAATAAAGGCTAATAGCCATAAATGTAAAATAAAATCTTATTATAATAAAGTACTCTGTGGAGAGATCTCACAGAGAATATTCCACATGCCTCTACATGGTCCCTGGGTGGCATGGTGGGTTGAATGTAAACAACAGCATGACAAATTCCTAAGTCAGTTTGCCTTGTGGAAGGTCTTCGCTCTCCGAAGTGATAGATGCCCTGAGGATCTCTCCTGTCTTAGGGTGCAGGGGCAAAAGTATCCAGGGATCTACCAGACTATCAGGCAGAAAGTATAGTGGTTAAAAAAAACAACCCAGCTATTTGGAATTGACTTGATGGCAATGGTTTATATCACTTATTAGCTATGTAACTTTGGGCAAGTCACTGAACTCGGTCTTACTTCATGTGGTTGGGAGGATTACTATGTGACACAGCCGGAATACAGTTGCCTCTCTAAATCACAGCTATCAGTTTTATTATTGTCAATATATCAGAAAATACCAGATATTCCTAAAATAGGTCTCAGCAAATAAAAATTAACTAGTAGTTAATAAAATGAGACCCAGTATAAAGCAGTTTTTTTAATTAAAAAATTTCTAATTTAATCTTTAAAATAGATATTATTTATATGATTCAAAATTCAAATATTCAAAAAGCATATCAAAAAAAACAAAAAAGATGATATAAAGTAAAAGGTCTGTTTTCCTTTCACTATAGCCTAACAACTCTGATTACCTGTCTCATTTTTAACTCTTCTGAGCTGGCTTATAGGGGCAAGAAAAGTCACTTGGGATCCTTTCATCCAATACCTAAATATAAATGTTCAGTTCAGAAAGTGTTACTGTTTATTCTCAATAAGTACTACTCTGGAAATAAAGCATTCTACAGAAACATCTCTTTTAAAGCAATCACTAATACAAATACTTTTGTACTTTAAAATATTTCATCTATTCATAATACATATCACAAAGGGACAAATTTTGCTTAGCAGCTGAGCTCCTAACTACTACGCCACCAGGGTTTCCCAGCATTGTTAGGCATGTCAAAAAGTAGGTCCATGAACACATTATTATTAGCAGCATAAATTAGTTCTGCCTTTTTGAAGCAATATGTAATAAGTACCAAAAACACCATTCATGCCCTCTGACTCACTAGTACTATTTTTTGAGATTACATACCCCCAAAAGAAAACAACTCAGAGAAAATAAGTAACTTGTAAAGTGATGTTTACCGAAGCAATTTATTTAGCAACAAAAGAACTGAAAACAATTCAAATTCCAATTAAAAGGGAATAGTGTATTCAGATGGAGGGTGGAGGAAATGAAACTATAATATGCCAAAAGTTAGCATACATTGTTCTGACCAGTCAGCTTTTTAAATTTTCTAGCTCCCTGGATATAATTTATTTGCCAAAGTAGAAACTGCCCCCCAGATACATGTAAGTATTAAACTGAAAGGGAAAAATTTAGATGGCAAAACAATCAAAGTTTAATAGAAAAGAAAAACTAATGCCAGCTACCAAATAAATTATATAGAGGGACAGCTATCCTATTTTGGGCTACATCCCTTACATGACACAAGGCATGCTGTTGCCATGATACTGGGCCCTGGAGAGGGGCAAGCAGGTCTTTTGAACCTATCTGGAAGGAGATTTAAGCCTCTCTATAAACAATTTATATAGAGAAGATCTAGTAAAAAGGGCAGACCAAGAAAAACAAATCCCAAACTAGTGTAAAATATCAACTTAGCAACTATGATCCTAAAGAAGTCAATCCTTTAAAAAAAAATGCTAATTTCATAAAGACCTAAAATTAAACAAACATTCCATTAAATAAGAGTTTAATTAAAGCAGCATGACTCAGAAAACACAGGAAAGAATAGTGACTGAGTCAGATGAATGTCAATTTGAGATATCCCTTGGAATAGGGTGATGAGCCCATTTAAATTACTTTTTCAAAACCTATTCCATGACTTACTACTAATTAAGAGGCAACATCACTGATGAGAGCTTCTGTCAACTTACTAAGTGTATTTTAAGCAAAATGAGGTTTTCCTACATGACAAAATGAAGCCATTATTTCTTGAATGTCAAACACAAACTGGGTGAACGTATAGCACTATGACAGATGTATTTACAGCAGTCATGGTTACATACCTTTGCTAAAATTGCTAATGTGCAGGCAATGCCCAACTCTCCACCTCCAACCACAGTAATTTTATTAACTGTTTTAGTTTCATGATTTGCCCAGCTCCTTGAATTTATGTCTGAGACACCTAGAATGAAAAGTAGATTATCATAAGAATTTTAAAGTAGTATCAAAAGTTATTTTAGCATCTCTTAAAAAATATACCAGGCTTCAATAACTCAAACAGAAACCCCAGCCCTAATCCACAATCAAACCAACTAGTTGCCATCAAGTCGACTCTGACTCATCTCCATGTGTGTCAGACCAGAACTGTGCTCCATAGGGTTTTCAATGGCTGGTATTTCAGAAGTAGATTGCCAGGGCTTTCCTCTGAGGTGTCTCTGGGTGGAGTCAAACTTCCAAACTTTCGGCTGTTTGAACTACCCAGGGACTCCAGTCCATAATAAAAACTCATTGCCATCGAGTTGATTCCAACTCTTGGTGATCCTACATGACAGAACAGAAACGCCCCACTGGATTTCCAAGACTAAATCCTTATGGAAGCAGACTGCCACATCATTTTCCCCTGCAGTGGCTGGTGAATTTGAACCACCAACCTTTTAGTTAGCAGCCAAGCACTTAACCACTGTACCACCAGGGCTCCTTCCAGTCTACAACAGGTACTCAAAAAATATTTGTTGAAGAAATGAATGAATGAATGCAAGAAAAACAGAGAATCTAAGTTCTGAAGTCTTTTGTTAAATATTCACTAAATAGAGGCTATCCTTTTAAAAAATAACTTTCCAAAAATATAAAAATATTATTAATAAGACTAAAAGATATTAAGGTATCTTTATCTTTAATCAAAAACGTTAAGAATCATAGATCTTCTGGTCTAATATACATAAACATGATGAAAAAAGCTTGTGATCAACATATGTCAAGTGACTTAGAGCAGCAGTCCCTGGGTGGCATGAACAGTTAAACATTGGGCTACTAACTGAAAGGCTGGCAATTCACACCAACCCAAATCTGCTTCTGAGAGGTCACAGCCATGAAAACCCTATGCAGAGCACTGGTACTCTGAAACACATGAGGTCCTCATGAGTCAGAATTGACGGGAACTAGGCTTTGTTTTTTTAATTTAGAACAAAACAAGAATTATTTTATCTATCATACAACAGTAATTTTTTTTACATTTCAGGAAACCGTATTCATTGGAACTGATGGTAATGCTGACCTATGACAGATGTACAGGTATTTTTGATCTTACACACACATACACACACACACACAACACACATTTATTTATGAAGATGAAGTAGAAAGCAAGAAGCAGAAAGTAAAAAAAGTTAGTGAGAAATGTAAAATGATAATCTTCAAGCAATCTAATTGATAAAAATACAAACCTTCAGTGATTTTTGCAATATAGGCTAGCAAGTCTACCTGCCGTGCCTCATCAGATGACGATAGAGAATACAGGGGAAGTTCTTCTTGAAACTTGGCGATCATTTCTTTAATTAATCCAACAATGACAGATTTAGGCTGCAGAATACACATAAAGGAAAAACATTTTGCTAAAGAATAAACCAAAAGCCGAAACGCACTGCCATCGAATCAACTCCGACTCCATCACGACCCTGTAGGACAGAATAGAGTTGCCCCTTAGGGTTTCCAAGGCTGTAAATCTTTATGGAAGCAGACTACCACATCTTTCTCTCACAGAAGGGCTGGTGGGTTTGAACTGCCGAGCTTTCAGTTAGCAGCCAAACACTTAACCACTGCACCACCAGGGCTCCTTTGCTAAAGAATCCAACCTACTGCTGTGGAGTCTTACAACTCACAGTGACGCAATAAGGTTTCCAAGGCTGTGAATCTTTATGCAAGCAGACTGCCACATCTTTCTCCCGAAGAGACTCTGGTGGTTCTGAACCCCTGACCTTTTGGTTAACAGTTGATCACTTTAACCACTGCACCATAGTACCCTGTTAATATATACATTCTTATAAAGTTAGCCAAAAAGAAAAATTCCATCATGCTCTCGTTTTTTGAAAACTACCAAAAAATTATTTAACACTTTTAACTGTTTAAATACTTTTAATTTTAAACTAAAACTAAAATAATAAATTCATACCTCCCAAAAGCAAAAAAAGCATAAATGCTTAACAGCAGAATATCTAAGTTTGGGATTTCTCTCTCTCTTATTATTTTGAAATAATTTCAGACTTAGAGAAAAGTTGCAAAAATAGTACAAAGAATTACCATTTGCTCTTCAAATTAGAAAATTAACATTGATAAAATATTATCTAATGTGGTATAAGGAGTCCGTGGGTAGTGCAAACTGTCAACACACTCGTTAACTGAAAGGCTGGCAAGTTTGAGTCCAGCCAGAGGCACCTCAGAAGAAAGGCCTGGAGATCTATTTCTGGAAGACCAGCTATTGAAAACCCTATGGAGCAAAGTTCTACTCTGAAAACGCATGGGGTCGCCATGAGGGCAACTAGGGTTTGTTTCAATCTGATATTGTTTCTTTTAATTTAACTGGTTGAGTAACCTTAGCAAAGTTCACTTAACCTCTCTGACCTTCAGTGTCATCAGCAATACAATGTGAATAATAAACCCCAAATGGCTGCTATGAGAAACAAATGAGTTAATGCATGCAAACTATAAGCTGTGAAGGCAAAAAGATATCTGTTACTATTACTGGGAATAATTAGTAGTATGCTCATCTTAAAAAGTGCTTAATTTCTTAGAGTCCAGTTTCACTATTTATAAACTAAGAGGATAAGACCAAAAACTCTTTAAAAACCAAACTCACTGCTGTCAAGTCGATTTCAACTCATAGCAACCCCATAAGACAGAGTAAAACTGCCCCATAGGGTTTCCAAGGAGCAGCTGGTGGATTCGAACTGCCGACCTTTTGGTTAGTAGCTGATCTCTTAAACCACTTTGCCACCAGGGCTCCCAGAGGATAAGACCACTAGGATTAAAAAAAAAAACAAACCTCAAATACCTATAGGGACCAGGCAGATAACATAAATGTGTGAAGCTGCCAAGTATAAGTAAATTTGGAAAAAGGTTTACTGTTGGAAACTGGAAAGGGCATGCCTATAAACATTCAAATTCCTATTAAGAACAAAACAAAGCAAAACAAAACCACTATGCTCTTCAAAAATAAAATTCTGTAGGCCCAATGCAGCAATTTCAACGTCTTGGGAAAACAGTCTGCAATCCCTGGCCTACATGACCTTTGGATTCCTTCCTACTCCAAAATTCTATATAATTATACTCCATGATTATAATTCCAACTGCATGTGGGACTTAGAGGTACTGCGGTACCTTAAAATAGGGCAATTTAAACAATGTGATGTCTTCTTAAAACTAGTTTACCTTATAATAGAGAGGCTCAGATTAGTAAAATCAATACTGTCTGAACTGAAATCAAGCATAACCTCAACTAGATTATAGGATTATCTCTGATTATTTATTAAACAAATAAAAACAAACTATGAAAAGAGATGCCAAAGAAAGAGAAAAGATACACCAAGAGGAAATATGATCCCGTGTCAGGGCACAGATTTCAAACTATTCCTTGAGGATAGTTTACCAAAAAAGGGTGGGGGATGCGTAAAGGAGATATGCAAACAATTCATAAAAGAAGAAACATACATGGTTAAATATATTTAGGATTTCAATTTCTCAAATAATGGAATAACTGAAAATTAAAGATACCACCTTGTCTTTACAACTGGCAATTTTTTTTGCGGGGGGGATCAAGTAGTACTTTATTTCACAGGCTTTTTGTGAAGACTAAATGAATTAATAAAGAATTTAGAACAGTACCTGGCACACAGTAAGTACTATGTAAGTGTTGTTGTTAGCGCTCCTCAAATCATAATGGTGACCCCACGCACAATGGAATAAAACGCTGCTTTGTCCTGCAGTATCTCCATGACCGTTGTGATCTACAGGGTTTTCACTGGTTGATTTTCAAAAGGAGATCACCAGGACAACTGGCAAATTTTTATCATGCCCTATTCATCACATTTAGTCCCTGGGTGGTACAAATGGTTAAGCACGCGACTACTAGCCAAAAGACTGGCGATTAAAATCCACCCAGAGGCACCCTGGAAGACAGGGCTGGCAATCTGTTTCCGAAAGGTCAAGGCCTTGAAAACCCTATGGAGCAGTTCTACCCTGCACACATGGGGTCACCATGAATTGGAACTGGTTTGGCAATGAACAACAATACTATTCATCACATTTAACTCATAATCTTATTTAAATCACCAAATAATGTACAAGATCATAAAGTAAAAGGTCAGTGTTTCCCCACCTCAACTCTACTCTTGACAGTTTGGTGTGGGTCCTTTCTTTTTTTTTTTCTTTTTAAAGGTTGTATTTATGAAAAATATAAAAACCATAAAAAACAAAGTAAAATGCATCCATAATTGCCTTTTTCATTTTTTTGTTGTTGAGAATATATACAACAAAACATACACCAATTCAACAGTTTCTACATGTACCATTTATGGCACTGATTACATTCTTGAATTGTGCAACCATTCTCACCCTCCTTTTCCGAGTTGTTCTTCCCGCATTAACATAAATTCACTGTCCCCCTAAGGTTCCTATCTAATCTTTCAAGTTGCTGTTGTCAACTTGTTCCCAATAGATAGTTCTTAAAAGAGCATAATGCTCAAGGCAGACATTTTTTACTAGTTAAGCTAAACTATTGCTTGGTATTAAGATTCAGGAGCTGTTTTTGGTTTAAGGATTAAAGATTATCTCAGGGCAATAGTTTCAGGGGTTCATCTAACCTTCATGGCTCCAGGATGTCTGGAGTCCATGACAATTTGAAATTTTGTTCTGCATTTTCCCCCTTTTGATCAGGATTCTTCTATAGAATCTTTGATCAAAATGTTCAGTAATGTTCAAAATCTCTATTGCAAGCTTTTTTAACAGGAGGACTTCAAAGGTCAGAAGTGCATATGTGGGTGTTGGTTTTATAATACATTTTTAAACTTATTTACATTGTATGTAAGTTTGGAATGTATATTTCACAATTTAGGAAAATGGGAAAAGATACAGTGTACCATAAACTGAGGATATAATTTGACTTGCAGCATGAGTCAATCTGAAATTTTCTCTGTAAAAGTGTATGTGCATCACCAGCTTAGACAGCTAAGGTAGGAGGGCTGCTGCACACACTGCACGTCAGCAAGCAGCTACTGAATGCCCAAGTGAGGAGGGATCTGACGTTGCATGAGTCAACATCAATTTGGAAGCAGATCCTTAGCACTAGCAAGTAAACTTACGTATCACAATTTAGGGTAGGTTTTACTCCTAAATCTGGTGAAAATGTCACTTATAAATTCTGAAAATGTGCTCCCCCCCCGAAAAAAAAACAAACCCCAAAACAAATTAATACATTTCAAATAGCTGGGCAGAAATACATTTTAAAAATCATAAAAGTACTAAAATGGGATTAAAATTATCTTACTATATTGTTTTATAAAGATTGAAAAAAAAATCCTTTGTAAATGTCAGGTCTGACTATTTATCAGTTAACAGTATGGAAATAAATCAAAAGCTTCAAATCCCTTGATTCCATCTTTATTGAAATTAAGAGGTGAATCCATAAGCTATAAATTTTCAATTCCCAACTGAATGTAAGTTCCATGAATCAGGGATTTTTGTCTTTTTTGTTCATAGCTGCATCACAATGCCTGGCACATAGAAGGCACTAAATATTTGTTGAATAAAATGCAGGAATGATAACGAGAAATTCTGAGTGAAGAAGTTGCTGACACAATTCCTTCTGAGAATGCAGAGCATGGAGATGGAGATTGTCCTTTAGTGTAAACTTAAGGAAAAAAATATAAATCTTGTCATCGTAAAGTGAGTAGCTTGTTTGCAAGAAGCCTTCTTGTGAGATCCACCTTATCTAAGATGGTTTATTACCTTCACCTTGAGTCTATGATGTCTGTTTTACACGTCTGAAATGTCTACTCATTATATGTTTGTTATAAGAAACTGAATTTACTCATCAGGCTTAATTATTCACTGATCACACTTTCACTGACCTTGATATAATTAATTAGACAGCACTATATAAATAGTGTTTATTCTCTGGTAGTTTAGAAAAGCATCGTTTTTCTCCTTGCACATGTTTATGTAAGTAAAAGATAAATGGCATATTATACTTCAATAAGTTTGATTTTTAAAAAATGGTGATTGCAACAACCATTTTTAAATGAAAGCCAAAATATTTTTTTTCCTGCAGTAAAATATATATATTCCAAGGTTTGTAAGGAATATACTAACATAATATATAAATGTTTAAATGAAAATTTATCTTAACTGTTGTTGCTGTATGCCGTTGAGTAGATTCTGACTCATAGTGACCCTACACGACAGAGCAGAACTGCCCCATAGGGTTTCCAAGGAGTGGCTACTAGATTTGAACTGCGACCTTTTGGTTAGCAGCCATAGTTCTTAACCACTACACCACCAGGGCTCCTACCTTAACAAACTAAAATCGTCTATTATTACATAAACCTTAAACTCAAGGTACTGTAGTATTATTATTCTTTCCATAAGGTATGATCCCCTGCTTTCTTCTGAATTTCAAATTATTTTTGAAGACCACGTAAGCAATACCAATGAAATAAAATGAAATATTTTACTTATTTGTATCATCACAATCAAAGATACATATGCAGAAAAATGAACTTTTTAAGAACCCAAACTGATCTTACATGGCTCCAGTTTTGGAGATAGGGCAAGTATATCCTGCCTTGAGCATCCACGTGTTTTCCAACTGAGATTCCCATATTTGCAGTTGGCTTCAAGAAGCAAATGGGTGGAGCAAAAGGGTGAGAATCCAAAATCCATAAACGAATTGGTATGTTATATGTATTACCTATTTGAGATAAAATAAACAGACTCAAACAATAATGAAGCATGTACATTATACTTATGGTATAGCCAGGTGTCATCTGAAGAAACATATGTAGTCTAGTCAAGCTTACACATAAAGTATTTATGTAAACCAAGGACCATTTTCCCATTTTGTCCACATTCACATTGGAGTTATGTTCCCATTAGGATTATACCAGTGTAACATTTGAGGAAATTTAATTAAGACAATGACCAGCCCATCCAATGCAATTCAGTAAACATTTATAGGGCATACTTTGCCAAAAGTTTGGGATACAGCATCTTCTTTATGTAATCTCCTTTGTTCCATCCAAGCAGAGCTATCCAATTTTTCTTGAAAGGTAGTGGATACCTCCATTTTTGTATTTATTCTGCATTTAAATTATTTGCTTATAGGTCTGTTTCTCCTTCTACACTGTGAACTTCTAAAAGGATTATGTCTTATTCATTTTTATATCCTCAGCACATATTGGCTGTTCAGTAAAGTTTATATGAATAAGAATGAATGAATGAACAAACTAAAATGAACGAATAAACAAAGATAAATTTAATACTTGCTCTCAAGGAGCTCAATAACTGCAGATACTATTGCACACAAATTATGGATAACACTGCGAAGAATGGGAATTCCAGAATTAATTGTGCTCATGAGGAACCTGTACAGAGACCAAGAGACAGTCAGCGGTTCGAACAAAACAAGGGGATATTGAGTGGTTCAAAATCAGGAAAGGTGTACATCAAGGTTGTATCCTTTCACCACACTTATTCAATTTGTACACTGAGCAAATAATCTGAGAAGCTGGACTATATGAAGAAGAATGCGGCATCAGGATTGGAGGGCGACTCATTAACAATCTGCGATATTGCAGATGACACAACCTTGCTTGCTGAAATTGAAGAGGGAGTTGAAGTGCTTACTGATGAAGATCAAAGACCACAGCCTTCAGTATGGACTATATCTCAGCATAAAGAAAACAAAAATCCTCACAACTGAACCAATAAGCAGCATCATGTTTAACAGAGAAAATATTGAAGTTGTCAAGGATTTAATTTTTCTTGGATCTACAATCAGTGCCCACGGAAGCAGAAGCCAAATGAAACAACGTATTGCACTGGGTAAATATGCTGCAAAAGACCTCTTTAAGGTGTTAAAAAGCAAAGATGTCACTTTGAGGACTAAGGTGCGCCTGTATTTTCAATCACCTTATATGCATGTGAAAGCTGTAAGGAAGACTGAAGAACTGATGCATTTGAATTATGATGTTGGTGTAGAATACTGAAAATATCATGGACTGCCAAAAGAATGAACAAATCTATCTTGGAAGAAGTACAGCTAGAATGCCTCGGAACACAGGCCTGACGATCTGCTTCTGAAAGGTCACAGCCGTGAAAACCCTATGGAACAGTTCTACTCTGTCAGCTAATGCCCTGCCTCCTACTCTGCCCATGTAGCTTCCAGGTGTGACCGTCTAAGAATTACCATAAAGAAGCACGTACTCTGAAACAGACCCAAGAAATGCAGCTTCCTGGTGTCTTTTAGGCAATGTATTCTCATCATACAGTGCTGACTCCTTTGTAAGAGAGAGTAAACTCTGTGGTTCTCTCCCTCTTTAGATTCCAGATCCTCCTCTGCCCCCTTTCAGTACACTCTTCTCTTTCAAATGCCCAGTAAATTCATTTAGTCCTAAATCCTTCAGGAATAATCAAATAAAACAACTCCCTTAGTCAACAAACATTTATTAATCATTTTCCAGAAGCACAGCACTATATATTGAGTTTGGATGTTATCTCTCCTGGGATATTTGCATTTTAAAAGAGAAATGAATTTTTAATGATGGAATTTCAGGTACCACTCAGAGAAATATATTGGAACCAAAGCATCACTGGTGTTCTTCAAATCACACTGTATAAGCAATTTCCTATGATACCTACCTGAAAGGTTAGTCCTTATTGAACACAGGAGAAAGTAAGTCTGGACAAATAGGAAGAGTTAAGTATAGGGGAAATCAGTGGACTTTTTTTTTTTTTTTTTTTTTTTTGGGCAAACACTTAGCTATTTTAACCTGTCAGGTCACCCTAAAATGTGTTGGTTTCTTTGAGGCTTAATGACACTGTGTTTTAAAATTTCCCTATTGGAGTTTGAAGTTACAGTCCCTGACCTTAACTAGCGTGTTGTCATTGTTAGCTGCTGTCAAGATGACCCTGACTCATGATGACCCCATTCACAATGGAAGGAAATACTGACTGGTTCTGTGCCATCCCCAAGATGGGTTGCGAATTGGTCTGCTGTGATGCACAGGGTTTTCATCGGCTGATTTTTGGAAGTAGATTGCCAGGCCTTTCTTCCTGGTCCATCTTAGTCTGGAAGCTCTGCTGAAACCTATTCAGCATCATTCCAACATGTAAGCACCCACTGACAGACAGGTGATGGCTGCGCATGAAGTGCCTTGGCTGGGAATCAAACCAGGTCTCCTGCTTGTAAGGTGAGAATTCTACCACTGAACCACCATTGCCCCTACAACTAGCTGTGCAGCCTTGGGTAAATCACTTGACCAGGCTGAGACTCAATTTCACCTGTAAAATGGGGATAATGCTATATCATATGGAGGAGGGAATAGGAACAAAACATCGATGTAACGGAGAAAAAGGTGGCATCCCTGCAGTCTTCTGTGGAAAGCAGAGATAACTTTCCACAATGGTGAGCCTATGTCTGTCTTGGCCTCCTCTGTACCCCAGCACCTAGCACAGTAGCAGACAATAAATAATTGTTGAACTGAATTCAACTTGCTGGCATTAACCCAGACCCTCCTTGACTAGGACAGCACCCTGCCATACCCCATAAGGTTCTGTATAGATCATACATATATGAAAATACTTTGACAATGTTATAGCATTAAACAAATGTTTAAGTCCTCATTATATGAACTGCTCCTTAAGAAAATCCTCACATTTTTCAACTTCCAAACTTACCCTGATACATCACAGGAATAGTGCCAGTAAAATTCAGCAGGTCTTTCTGGGAACTATCTTTAAAAACTGGAGGGAAAAAAAAAGTCCCAAAATGTGCAATCAGAAGTTGAAAAACTTATTAAAACACACACACAACACACACACATGTATACAGTCTCTAAAAACCATCATCCAAGAATCAGTAACTACACTGACAAGGGGAAATTACTAGATGCCGTTTTCTTAAAAGGTGGAGGGGTATCGCTGAAAGAATACAGGACTTTGGTACCAAAATCCCAAGTATTAGGTCCGTCTTCCTACTTACAGACATGTGACTTTTGGTCCTTTAATCTCTTTGACCTTCACTTTTCTCATCAATAAAATAAAGATAGTAAGACTGCTTTACAAACTTTTCATAAGGATAAAATGAGATAATTAATGTGAAAACCCTTAATAAGGAGTATTATAAAATATGAGGACATGATTAAATAATTGTCACATGTAACAAATCAGCTATAATCACTCCAAAAATCAGATTAAAACTTTCATAATAATAAAAAAAGTTAGTTTATCTTTTAAAGCAACCTCTTAGAAAGATAATAACTATTTTCTTTGGTTTCTCTAACCCAGTTATTCTCAACCATTTTTCAACCTTCACTACCCTGAAAATTCAACCCTCCCAATAATAGCTGGGACACACTGGTGAAGAATCAATGCCCTAATCTCAAGAATTAATAAAAAAAACATTACCTCTGATTTCAAACTATCAAAAAAGGAATGCAGCCCTTTTAGTACCTCAGATACTATACTATTTGGGCAGAGGAAGAAAAAATTCTAAATAGATTTGACGACCTATTATAAAAGGTAAAGAGAAAATCAGCCTGAGGTAGAAAACTCAAGGCCAAGATTGACATAAGTACAAACATTTACCTTAAGCTCTATGAGTGAAAGGTAACAACAATGGGTGAAAGGACCACTCTGTGGCAAAAACTAAAATGTGTGGATGAGTGGAGATGGAACTGTTACTCAGGGGCACAAAATACTCTAGAAATGTGGTAGAGAAATGATATGTGTGAATGTTCATTGTCCAAATTATTAAAGAAGCTAAAATAGAATTATGATGCATGATTGTCATTGTTTCCAGTAGAAAACTGCACATCGACAATATTAATCCTGTTAATTTGAGGGTTTAGTGGCACCAGGGATCACTTTCTCTAGACAGGTGGAAATGAGAATAAGAATAAACTGGTACAACAAAGCATCCAATCCACATGATGAAGAAAGACACTGTATAAGATCATGAGTAAAATAGGTACTCAGCCATGGGTACAAACCCCAAAACCTTACTAGCCATGTAATCTCGAGCAAGTTATTTAAACTCTCTGAGTTTCCATTTTTCTTTATTTGAAAAATGAAGATGATAATACTACTTCACAGATTTGGTCATAAAAAATATGTAAGATAAAGTACATAAACCATCTGGAAGCACATCTGGTATATCTAATCACAGATGGATTAGAATCTAATAATTTCTTCCATACATAAAATTAGATATTCCTAAGAAATACTTCAATGACTGAAGATTTCTGATATGTAAATCTGAATTAGATACATTTTCTTAATCGAAACTAATTTGAACATAAAACCTATCCATGTAGAATAAAGAAGTTTTCTAAAACTGTGTTTTGACTAATTCATTGATCCTGAAATCAACTTTAGTGTGTCTCAACCAGCATTTGTTTTTAAATGGAATAGAACAGAAAATGCCAGAGTGGATATAGTATTTTATTTATGTGTATATAGGGTCAGGATACAAACTATATTTCCAAGTCTGGGTTGTGGTCAGAAATTTTTGAAAGACAGTAAAGTTAAAATCTTTCTAAATTACTAGACCTTCTATATTAAATGAACAAGATAACCAAAACTTTGTTATTAAAAATTTAGAACAAATCATATAGTGGTAGGCAGAATAATGCCTCTCCAAGATGCCCACCATAATCCTTGAAACCTGTGAATATGTTACCTTAGCAAAAGAGATGTGATTAATTTAAGGGTGTTGAGATGGAGAGATTTTCCTGTATTACCTGGATGGGCTTAATCTAATTACATTCGCCATTAAAAGGAAAGAATCTTTCCCAGGTGTGGTCAGAGGGAGATCTGACTACAGAAGAATGGTCAGAGATACAACGTTGTTGACCTAGAAGATGGAGGAAGGAGATCACAAACCAAGAAAAGTGAGTGACCTCTAGAAACTGGAAAAGGTAAGAAAAGAGATTCTCCCCCAGAGCCTCCAGAAAAGAACGAAGACCTGCCAACACCATGATGCTAGCCCAGTCTGACTTCTAACCTAAAGAATTGTAAGATAATAAACCTGTGTTGTTTTAATCCACTCAGCTTGTAGTAATTTGTTATAGCAGTGATAGAAAAGTAATACAATATATATTCTATTAATAAATTTCCTCAGAAACCACAGGTCACAAAGTGTAACTCAAAATCAGGGGATAAGAGAGAAATGAGAAATTATGATTTTGCAGTTCTCTGGGACCAAACAACTAAAAGTTCACAAAATGTAGAAAACATTAGAAGATTCTTACTATAGGTGTCCACAGAATATCTGAAATGTGGGTAAAACATATTGACATTCTTCAGTTCTTCCACAGTTAGATCTCTGAACTTGTACTGAAAAGAGAAAAATGATCATGAAATCCAAACAAAACTATGATCAACAGAACACTTACAGTTAACATTTAACTGAACACTTACTGTGTGCTAGGCTATGAGCTTTACAAACATGAATAGTATTTGAAATAATCCTCATAAGGATGACCCTATGAGGTAGGTAGGGCTTAAAATTGTTCCACTTTACAGAAAAAATAAAAGCTAGGGAATCAAAGTAACTTGTTGAATCACATAGCCAAGTTAAAGTGGTGAAGGCAGAGCCACTACATCCAACTTCCTCCATTTTGAAGAGTAATAATAAACATTCATGGAGCAACTCACCCACCTAGGATCTAGAATAGTGCTGTCCAATATAACTTTCTGAGATGATGGAAATGATCTCTGTCTGTGCTGTCCAATACGGCAGCCACTAGCCACATGTGTATTGAGCACTTGAAATGTGGCTAATGTGCACTGAGAAACTGAATTTTTGATTTTATTTAATTTTGATTAATTTACATTTTAATTTAAGTAGCCACACGTGGCTAGTAATCACTTTATTAGACGTCCCAGACCTAGGACATTTCTAATACCATGACATCTGTCTGAGTACTCCTCTCCCATTCCTCTGCCTCCCCTGAATCGTGCATTCATTCTTTTACTTTTTCCCTCCATATTTATGTCACATATGTTTGTATCCCTAAACAACATATTGTTTATGTATTGCTCATACATTGTTTAGTTTTCCTTGTTTCTGGGCTTTATCAAAGTATCACTTTGTATATAACCTGATTTGTTTCCACTCAGTATGTTTCTAAGATGTATCTGTATTGTTGTATGCAGTAGTTCACTTTCACTGCTACATATTACATTTTTTTCATTGTATGACTATATTATAAATTACTCTTTCTCCTGTCAATGAACATTTGAGGGCCTAGTCATGCCCCAGAAATGTAGGTCAGACTTCTGGGTCAGCTCTCCCATCAGTCAACCTTTTAACATAAGCGGATCTCTCCTGGGCCTTCAAGCCCTATCTTCATTCCTAAATCTACTCACGTCTTTTCATTCATTGAAGTTATTTAGCTCCTACTTTGTTGCCAGGCAGAGTCTTGGTGGCTCAGCGGTTAAAAGCTCGGCTGCTAACTAAAAGTTCGGCAGTTACAATCCACCAGCCGCTCCTTGGAAACTATGAGGCAGTTCTACTCTGTCCTATAGGGTTACTATCAGTCGGAATCAACTCGACAACGAGTTTGATTTGGCTTTTTTTTCTGCCAGGCACAGTGTTAGATGAAGAGAATACAAAAGCACAGTTCCTGACATCAAGGAGTTCACAGCAGGAGTAAGGTTTGCAAATAAATAATTACAATGTGCTAAGTGATATTTTTGAAAGCTGGCAGAGGGAAGATGATTCAGTCTTCCAGGGAGTGCCATCTGAGATGGATCTTACAAAGGGTAAGTGTTGCAAGTCAAAAAAAAAAAAAAGCAGGCCATTAGGGGACAGATAAATGTGAGGTTAAAGGCATAGCGTGTACTAGGAGCTGTTTTGAGGCCAGCTAAACTTGTGGCGTGAAAGGGTACCGCACAGGGTGGAGGTTGGGGGACCAACATCACGGAGATGGGGGCGGGACCAGAGCGCAGACCTCTGCGGGGAAAGGGTGGCCTTCGACCCCTGCAGCCTTCCAGGGGCCGCTCCCCATAGCCGGCTTCAGACCAACCAGCTCCCCCCGATCCCAAAGCCCCACGGCAGGCGAGGGAAGCAGGGTGAGAAGGCAGCCTGGCTGGGGGGGCAGGGACATTCATAAAGCGTGCAATACGCCCCCCAAGCTCAGGGCCTCCAGACCCAGCCCAGTGGACTGCCCCCACCTTGCCAAGCAGCCGTCTCAGACTGTCGCAGTCGAACTCCATTTCCAGCCAAGTTCCGGAACCAGGTTCCACAACTCCAGATCCTCGACCTTCCTCCCGATCCGCCCTAGGACGGCGGCCGCTGAGGACCAAACTTTCTCAGCAGTCTAAGACCCTGCCCTCTTCCAGACTTGAAATTGCGCTCCTGTTCAACGCCCGAGGCTCGGCTGTAGCTCTGCCTGGAGTGAGACCGCGTTTCCAGCTTGAGCCCTGAGCAGGCAAGTGGTCAGAGCGCGGTCAGAAACGTGTTAGAGGTAAGGGAACCAGGACCCAGCTTATTAGAAGGAAACTTGGGACATTTATGAAGAGAGAAATGGTGAAGGACCCAGTAGGAGCAGGAAAGGAGAGAAGAAGCTACACGCGGTCTTCTTGAAGAGAGTTTCTAGAAGGGTGTGTTAAATTCAGCAGTGTTGCGAAAGATCAAGACCAAAAATTGTAACTGGATTTAGAATGGAGGAGGTAATGGAACTTAAAATTTTAGGGGCTTAGAAAAGGAAAAGAGTCAAGAAGGAGTCTTGTCAGAGAATTGGGAGATAGGGGGGTGCAGCATGGGGAAGGCAGGGGAAGTAGCTTTTTTTCTTCTTTTTTAAAGGGAGGAGCCAAAACTTTGTTGGTGGTTGACAGAGGAAAAAGCCAAGTAAAAAAAAATGTTTGAAAATAAGAGAGGCATAGATTGGTGGGTAAGGTCATCTGGAGAAGGTAGGCAAGGAAGGGGTGCAGGGTACAGCATTCTCTGACTTTGTTTGGTCTGCTCGATTTGAGGTTACTTATCTCCTCAGTATCCCTGGCTTGAGCCACTGGGGCTGAAAAGTCCTAAAACAAAAAAAAAAAAAACCCAAACCCATTGACATCCAGTCGATTCCGACTCATAGCAACACTATAGGACAGGGTAGAACTGCCCCATAGGGTTTCCAAGGAGATGCTGGTGGATTCAAACTGCTGACCTTTCCGTTAGCAGCGGTAGCTCTTAACCCACTGCACCACCAGGGCTCCAGAAAAGTCCCAGGAGCTAAATACTGTAATTGTTAAGAGTTGGGCTTGTCAGTGTCCTCCAACCAAAGACCATCAGAAACCCACCTAAACATGTTGGTTTACTATCCTTGCAGTGAGGGAGAAGAGGCACACCATGGGGGAGGGAGATAACCTTTGGGACAGCTCAGTAAGAGAACCTATTGTAGGATTTGAGTTTTGGGTGTTATGGGGAGGGTTCAAGGAAGCAGGGGTTTGCTCTGGATTGGATACTGTCCAAAAGCAGGGACAATTCTATGATTAAATTCATCTCAAATCTTATCTATAGAAAAGGCAGATTAGAGCCAGGATTAAGCTGTGATTAGTGAAAAACAGTTGTCACTCTTATTAGCAGGGAGAGGGTAATGTTTGGGGTTTGGACCTTGTTTTTGTCTCTGCTTAGAGGAAATTATGAAGTGGCCTTCTTTTATCTCACTTTATAATGGTGTGAGTGACTTTATCTGATGTTGGTGTTCTGTAAGATTGTGTATGTCCAACAAGAGAATAATGTGGCCTGGCTATGAGTGCCAGGCCAGCTTGTAACAAAACTGAGGCCTAGCTGTGTCAAGCCAGTTTCTGGCTTTTACTCTGAGAGAAAGGGGAAGAAGCCACTGGAGGATTTTGAACAGAGTAGTGACATGATCTGTCTGAGTTTTAAAAGAATAACCTTGACTGCTGTGTAGGAGCCCTGGTGGTGCTGTGGTTAAAGCACTCAGCTATTAACCGAAAGGTCTGCAGTTTGAACCCACCAGCCGCTATGCGGGAGAAACATGTGGCAGTCTGCTCCCATAAAGATTACAGCCTTGGAAACTATGGGGCAGTTCTGCTCTGTCTTGTAGGGTTGCTATGAGTCAGAATCAACTCAATGGCAGTGGGTTTGGTTTTTTTTTTTTTTTGGTTGCTGTATTGTGAAGAGATTCTGGCATGGGGCAAGAATGGAAGCAGGGAGACAAGTTAGGAGGCAAAAAGATTACAGGGAGAAATTGAAGGATAAAAGGCCTGTTAAGTGTGCCTCAGCCAGATCTAACAAACCTGGGAAACAATAGAACTTCTAGGGGCTCCAAGATCTAACAGATCCAACTAACCCTTTGCTGTCGAGTCGATTCTGACTCATAGCAACCCTAAAGGACAGAGTAGAACTGCCCTGTAGGACTTCCAAGGAGTGGCTGGTCTATTTGAACTGCTGACCTTTTGGTTAATAGCTGAGCTCTTACCCACTGTGCCACCAGGACTCCAACAGATCCTACTAGAAATCCATTAATCGAGGAAAAGATATCAAGTTAGCAGCGAGGCCTGAGCAAGGTTCTTCAATCTTTTGTGAAAGACCCAGGAAAATATACAACTTAGAGGGCTTTCATCCAAACCAACAATTCTGTGCTAGTCTAGTCACTCTGAATGAATTATAGGTATGATAAACACTGTATGCCTCTGTGTGTATATACAGCTATTATTTCCTGTATGGGAGGCACATTGCTAACAGTTTTGTGTGCTTTATCTCAGTTAATCTTCTCAAAACCCTATGACCTAGATTGAATTATTATCTCATTATGGTCTCCCCAAGCACATTTTTATTGATGACGAAGCTGAGGTTTAGTGTTGTACTACTTTTTTGCTTGATTCTGAGATCTTCTTAAATAAGAGTTGTATTAATGACAGTTTTTGACGGGAGAAAAAGACTACAAAATTAAACATGCACGCCAATTATAACACATATGCCTATTTTGAAAGAGTTTAAATGTGAAAAAGTGTACCTTAAAATAGAGGATATATAGTATATTTGGCCCCATTTTACATACGGGGAAACCAAGAATCAGAAAGAAATTGTTGCAGAAGGTGATGTCAAAGACCATTGTGCCTAATCTATGCATTATACTGTCTCATTGTATGTGAAATTGTGACATTGTGACGAACCTTTGTGATTAACAATCTCTGGAAGTTAGGATTCTGTGCCTATTGGTACTTAGTCCCAAGAAGAAGGCTCTGTAGTACAAACAATGGCTTTTTTAATCCTGCATCCTGATTTCTGGCCTGATCACCCTCATCTCCTAAAACTGGCACTCTTAGATCCTGTAATCTAACCAGGCTGAAACATTTGCCCTTCCCCAGGTATATTGTGTTCTTCCTGACCTCTCGCCTTAGGTATACTTGTGTTCTAGGGTAAAACCACCACAGTTATAGCAAAGGAAAAAGAAAGGTTTTATTCCGCATATGTTCAAAGAGGCAAACGTGGGAAGTAGACAAGCATGTCACAAGAGCCATGTCTGCTCGAGTCCAAGGAGTGTTACAGAATTATCAGTGTATATTAACATTACAAATGGGTAAAAGCTAAAAACTGCTAAATCACCCTGATTCTACATTTTGAATTGTCTTTCTTAATAATCGTTGGTACAGGTTTCAGTAAGGACAGTCAGGAGGGTCTTCACTGGTCCAACAAATCTTACTGTTTACTAAATGCTAATAGAAAAAGACATAAGAATGGAAAGTATTTGGGTCTTTTGTGTTGTTTATGATTTGTTTATGTGAAAGTTTCCCTAAAGGATGTTTTCCAAGATTGTCCTAGCTATTGTCTTTATATCTCAGGGCCCAGTTGGATATGTCCTTGTGAGTCAGCTTCCAGCTGGGTCACATTCTTTATGCTCAAGGACAGGGAATAATGGCTCCAGTTTTAATCTCCTACATCACTTATCTACCTCCATCTCTACCCCCTTTCCATTCTCTAAAACTGGAGACCCTGGCAGACAGGGGTCATATCTCATATTCATTCACAGTGCCTAGCATGCTTAGATTTATACATATATTCATTCTACTAATGTTTGTTGTTGTTGTGTGCTGTCAAATTGATTCCAACTCATAGCCACCCTATAGGAGTGTAGAATTGCCCGTAGAGCTTCCAAGGAATGGCTGGTGGATACGAACTGCTGACCTTTTGGTTAGCAGCCGGAGCTCTTAACCACTCTGCTACCAGTACTCCAGATGTAAAGAGTCCTTCAGTAGTTTGCTGAATGAATACAAGTGTAAAGTGACCAAAGCCAGAGGGAGAAGAAGGCGTAGGGTACTAGTTCTCGGCCTTATTTGGGTTTCAGACTTTTCAAAAATCTGTTGAACTCTGTAGATCTGCCCCAGAAAAATGTCTGTTTTCTGTCCAATTTCAATAATGTTCATGGATCCACTGAAGCCCATTCCTGGACACCAGCTTAAGAAACTCAAGTGTAGTTGGTGGGAGCATAAATTGCTGTAACTTTTGGACAAAGTAATCTGACATACTTTTGACCTTATAACCCCAATTTTGGGAATCTATCTTATAGAAAGATAAGCACCCAGGATATATGTACAAAGATATTAATTATGTTAAAAGGAAAAGAAATTATCCCTAAGCTAAGAAATGGGACAGCTGTATACTCTGCTTCTTTGCAGCTTGAGAAAAACAACATCAATGGCTTGTTTAAAATTAGAACGTGTTTCTTGGTACTCTGCATCTCATCTCTTTTTGATAGCCTTTATTGCTTTCATAGTTATTGTTAGGGGATGAAATTTTGTTACTCCAAATAAGACACAGATGTGTCCTTATCATTGACTTCTTAGCTATGTGGAGTATCTTGGTTATCTAATGCGGCTATAACAGAAATACCACAAATGGGTGACTTTAATCAACAGAAATTTATTTTATCACAGTTTAGGAGGTTAGAAGTCCAAATTCAGGGTGCTGGCTCTGGGGGAAGACTTTCTCTCTCTCTTGGCTCTGGAGGAAAGTCCTTGTCTCTTTGAGCTTCTGCTCCTGGCAGATCTTCATGTGGCTTGGCATCTCACTTCCCCCATCTCTGCTTCCTTGCTTGCTTGTTTAATCTCTTTTAAATCTCAAAAGAGATTCACTTAAGACGCATCCTATACTAATTCTGCCTCGTTAACATAACAAAGACAACCCATTCCCCAATGGGATCATAACCAAAGGCATAGAGGTTAGGATTTACAACACATTACTGGGGGACACAATTCAACCCATAACATGGAGTTTTTGTTGTTCATTGACTGACAATCAGCATATTCTGCATCTCAGGCCATACTTCCACAAACATCCTTTGTAACAACCTATGTGACTGTGTTTCAATGACCTGTGAAATGAAACTACAGTCTTTCTTTAACTCTTCTTGTAAGGATTTTATGTATACCCGCCATTTCAAGTTCTGTCTGAATTGGCATACGCTTTTGTCACCTTGCTGATTCTCTAAGTAACAAGTAATCAAAAGGCAATGCTCAAGAGAAATTTGTCTAAAATTAGTTTTTTAATAATCACAGCATTGTTTATGGTGGTAAAAATTGGAAAAAATCCAAGTGCCCATTATTAATTTACTGCTTTTCAGCTCCAAAGCCACCATTCATTGCTTGCTCTGTCATAATGGAGCTGGACCCTGTAAGCATGTCTCATTTACTAGCTGGCAGGGTGTTAAGTTTTGTCATTAGAGGGTACTGAGGGATACTGCTGGAAGAAGGGCCTTCTCTTCCTCATTTCAGTGTGCTTCTATGCTTGGTCCACTGTGTAGCTACCACTGGCATGTGTGGGGGATATCCTGTGGCACTCCTATTGAGATTCAGTGGCGCCCCTGTGGACTGCTTTCCATTGAGTTTCAATGGCACACATGCAGGGAGTTTGCCAGAGTTCCACCAGCACCCCAGAGAGCGGCGTCTCAGTACATTCCACTGGCACACCACCAGAGGTTGGGTTCTTAGCAACAGTTAGTAAACCTCACAGAACC